CCCCCCTAAACACCAAAGTTTGCAGATGCTCAAGTGACTGATATAAAACGCTGTGGTATTTGTGTATAACCCATGCACATCCTCCCAGGTACTTTAAATCATTTCTAGATAACTTATAATATCCAATACAGTGTGAATACTATCTAAATAGTTGTTACCCTGCACTGGGTTTTCTATTTGTATTATTTTAATTGTCAGATTGTTATTTATTATTATTTTTTCTGAATATTTAGACCGGTGGCTGGTTGAGGCTGTGGAATTCTCCAGCACGAAGGGCGGCTGTACTTTGAGATGATGTGCGTGGCCGTTGCTCATCACGCTTTCAATGTACTCATTCATTTACTTATATCTACTAGGACTTATGGTTTCCTGTTCATTCGGTTGGTTACAATCTGTTATTACAGTTGTTTATTTTGATGGTCACAGTTGATTCAACCAGCGGGAGCCCCTTTTGAGGCTGCTCCTGTATCTTTCTGACATGTTCCAATCATTCTTTGAAGGCCATCCTATTTGATGGCACAGCACACGGTCCAGGCTCTTTCTGGACCTTCCCCGACCTGGCCCTGGGTTGAGCCATGTCTCCAGGTGCCTGGTGGAGGACGGCGTTAGACACCAAGATCTGGGCAGGGATGTTCTCCGTGCTCTTGGGGCAGGGCTGCTCCCGGGCACTCCCAGCGGACCGGCCTGTGTGCTGATTGCTGTACCTGCCCGTGCATACGAGCTCACACGCAGGCCACCGGTTCCAAGCCGGCACTTCAGGATCCATCTAGTTTCTTCCCTTTCTGCCCTTGTAGCTCTCCTGCCTCCTACAAGGGGACCCCTAAATCCCAGAACCCTCGCTACTTTACCTATTACCCTGCCCCCTGCATGGCACAGGCTCCCATCAGGGATGCTACTTCCTCCTCTGCACAGATGCTCTGGGTTTGACACCCAGGTCGCTGTCCTGCCTAAGCCCAACACTGGCCATGATGTTCCCCGTGGTTCTGTCTGGGACCCCACCCAGTGAGCGGGATCCCTGGAGGAGCAAGCCGTGTTCCTCTCCTGCAGCTGCCACGGAGCTTTGGGAGCAAAAGATCCCTGAAAGAAGTTCGCTTTGGGGTGGGGGAGTTCACTTTGGGTGGTGAGTCTGGTCTTCTAGGCAGATCAACAGAGAATTTCAATGCCTTCTCACCATCTCCCAGACCAAACAAGACTGTGTATTGGGGAGGAATGTCTTTAGTTAACTCCTGTGCTTGGGACACAGAACCTGAGCAGATGAAACTTCTCTCTCCCTCTCTTCTCTCTCTCCTAAAAGGTAAATACCCCTCAGGAGTTGTAACTCTTTAAACAAGGGAGGAAATGAGGGAGTCTGCTCTAAACTGGGGTCTGCTGAGNCTCTCTCTCTCATTTTTGGCCAGCACGGTGTTATTTTGTTTGCTTGGGTTTTGTTTTTGTTTCTTTTATTGTCATGGTGGTGGTTGTTTTTGAACAAGTTATCGTCCTGGCTGGGAGTCCCCCAGAAGCCGACCTTGAGACAGGATTCAAGTGCAAGTAGTTTACTTGGAAGGTGGTCCCAGGAAACACTGGCAGGGGAGCAAGGAGGTGGGACAGGGACGGGGAGGAGCCGGCACACAATTACCGAACGTGCCCCTCAGCCTGTGCCTTCTGTCCTGAGGGCGAGGGGGCTGGGTGTGTACCCCAACTCCTGTCAGGCAACAGCTGCTCCCAGACTGGGGTGTACCAAGCGCAGAGCCCCTGAGCAGACCAT